TTTTGTGTAGATCCTTGTTGTTCCGAAGTAGGACTTGATTCCTAACATTATCAAAATAAACAGAAATACTGTCATATATTATATACACATGAATAAGTCTCATAGGAACAAAATAAAAAGGAAATTAACTAGAGATATAATGTCAATTTCAACACCTAAAGCGATAAATATTTTTTAACAGATTCCTATTGTCCAGTTGTGAACACTTACTACGATGGTGTGTGCTACTGATGTCAACATATATAAGTAGTATGTATCATCAATTGAAAGCGAAATGTCCTGCAGGTAGAATGTTGAGAAGATCAAAGAAAAAAGAACGAGAACAGATAATGATTGATATGAAAAGGGGGGAACAATCAAGTCTGAGATAATTTTCTGTATAGTTCTCAGAATTTACTAAGAGATTCTGTAATTTTTTGGTTAAATGCATTTGTTTGCCCCCCCCTGTGTTCTCGTTCACTACACTAGTAATAATAATTGGGAAACTCTGAGAAAACCCATTTCTAGTGGCTGAATTGATACGCGGATATGCACTGCTAAGGAATCCCTCAAGAGGACCAAATAGCCATCCATAGCTTCCAGGTTTTCAACGATGGTCTGTTTGTTTGATATATAAACCATTATATTTGAAATATATGATTCGCATAGTGGAAGCTGGTATCGGTGTTCTGGACTCAAGTGGACGGGCTAGGCGGACATAGGACCAATAATGACGCTAGGCTGCTCATACCGGTCGAATATCATTGGTTTGGCACTGTGCTAAGATTGTATAACTCGTATTTTGATTGGTGAATAAATCACATGATAAAAAGCCGGACATGAAGTTACAACCATGCGTAAATATAACATTCTATGATCGGAACTACTTTTAAATATTTGATAGTAGCATCAACGTCATTGATTAACTATTCATTATTTGTAGGAGGATTTGTAGAGAATGTAGTAATTTCATAGTTGAATTCACGAATCGATCTAAGCTAGGCCATTATTAAAAACCTGGAAGCACTGGATAGCCTTTTCGTCCTGTTATAAAACTCTTTAGCAGTGCAAATTCATGATACCCTACGTGAGACTCGAACCGAGGACTTTCAGCCTCGCGCTCGAACACATAACCTCTAAACCACTGAGCCCAGTATTTTCAGGGTTTAAATGGTAGTCTAACATTGATCAGTTTATGATCTCACTTAAAACTCAACAATCTCCACAACCTTATACTGTTAGCTGACTTTTCGTTCAAATTAGACATTCGTACAATATTTTTACACTAAAACATTCAATAAGTTAAAAGATAGAAAAGACATATCTTACTTCTCCTTCTGTAGTTGGAATTGTTTTAGGCTTGGATAATATAACTTTTGGTATTAAAAATGGTAATGTCAATCCACAAACAACCCCCATAATATACTAAATATTAAGAAAAACAAATAAAAAGAAGCTAATTCAATTAATGTAAATGAAACTACTGATTATCGTAATTAGTAACATACCTGTTTTTCAACAAAAAAATAAATTCATAATAATTAGGTTGAAGTTTAACAACAATGTAATTTCATCAAAGTACTAATGTTTTAGGAAGACAATAATGCTAACAGTAACAAACACTCTTATTGTAGTATATACTACTTATGTTGACCGTTATAAATAGCAACTAGCATTAATCGGATATGGAATGCCCGTCAGCAGAAGACTGAATCGTTTGAATTGAAAAGAACAGGAAAGAAAACAGAATGTAATTGTAATAACAACAGAATTGAAAGAATCATGAAGAAAGTGAAGGATAACTGAAGGAACATATACAAACAATGTAGTCCCATGGTATCCGGTTACCAACAATTACTTCATAAGTCATTTGTTCCCTTAGGATCCAGAAACCCAAAACATCAACATGAAAACTACAACAACCAAGAAAACTCTCCTTATGAACGTTCAGTTTTGAAAGAATATATTCAAAGGGAACCGAAGGAAAAATAAACTCAATTAAACCTTTATCGTCAAGGTTTAGGTGAATGTACTTCGAAGACACAACAGACAATGAACTATTTGACCTCAGAATGATAATCCCAAAAATTGGCTATTATACTAGGCTCACTGAGTGAGACATTAGACCTGAATCACAATCTACAAGACTTCATACGTTTCATATGAAAACTTTCTTTGTGAATATTCAGCTCAAGTGAGATACTTCTGGAGGAATTTCGAGAATGATCTAACGAATTCCTTAAGAAAGGCTTTTTACGATCAAAAGCTTCTCATCGTCGTTTCCAGCGACCTTATCATTCGTGAATGTGTGTAGTACCAACCCACTCATTGGTCCTCATCATTATGCCCACTTACTCCTGTGATGCAGGTTACATAGACTGCAAAAGGTGAGAACTCTGCAAACATCTTTGAACATTATCATAAGTGAATTTCGAAGGATAAATGTTCAATGTTAGAACGTGCTGTGAACTCTGATTACACGACCTCATCTGATGAATCTTTTAAAATCATCTACATAGTCAAATGATTTGATTTGTCAGGAACACAAATTATTAATTTATACGCTTCAAAGGCAAAAACAAACTGTCTTTTCAAACTGCTAGGGTTGAAACTATCACGAGCTCACTTAATCTACGAACGGGAAACAAGACTCAGTGAACAAAGACCAGTAAGCTAGCTATTAATGTGTCCTAGCCCCGCTAACTAGATTGAGAAGTCCATGCTTGGAATAGGGAAGTATGTTCTGCAAACACCCAGAAACGAGTGATAACAACAAACACAATTCAAAACGTATATATATAGTACAAAACTGTCCTTAGGGAGAGTTACCAAATAACATACTAAAAGACACAACGGACCAATAGTATTTAAGATATTTCCCAGTGGGAAATACGAAATGAAGGTGTCAAGAGCGCCTTTGGTGCGAAAACAATGAAATTCAAATTTTCTAAATAAAATTACAAAGTGAGGTCCTTGTCCAAGTGAGTTCTGGGGATCTAATGTTTCCAACACAAACCCTGTATGCAAAAAATGGCACATTCAAGTTATCATCCTTCCATTGGCTTTAACACTTGATTATCATAAACTGTTATAGTATTCTTGAAAAGAAAACACTTTCGGCTAAATCACTTTTCATATTTAATAGTTGAGATCATGAGTCAATTGAAGCTAGATCACTATGGAAAACATGGAAGTATTGGATGGCTGTTTCGTCCCATTGTACGACTCCTCAACTTTTCAAATGTTGAAGATCTACAGCTCAGATCGGTACTTTTTTATAGTGTTTCACTGATTGAGCTAAATGGTTTGATAATGAAGCTTTCATTGTTCTTCTGAACAATATCATCAGCATAAACTTCAAAGTAGAAATGGAATACTATCGATCTCGATCTTGACGAACTATAAGTTGATATCTATAAATCTTAATCAATAATATTGATTTTATATTACAAAATCTATAATTACCCTAAATACACTATTCTTAGTTGATAAATTACCGCTCCATGTATTTGTAAGAAAATCTTGACAACATGGATGTGCCATAAATTTTATACTTTGACCTTCAGCAGCTAATTTAATTACTGAACTACGACCATAATAAATTAATTCATGATTAATAATTAATTGTGTTCTATGTTCATCTTCACGATAACATTCATTCAAGACACCTTCAGCACGTTCTTGAAAGTTTCTATTAGAAAAGAAAAGAAAAAGAATAGTAAAAGGGGGGAGGAGGAGATGATTACTAAAGTTCAATTCATGAGTCAATCTAAGTTAGATTACCATTGAAAACTTGGAAGCATTGGACAGTTGTTTCGTCTTAGTATGGGACTCTTCAGCGAAGTGCACTATAGGGGTCTGAACCTAGGACCTTCAGTCTTGTGTCCAAATTTCTAACCTCTAAATCACTAATACAATCTGCATAAATTCTCCTTATTCACACTAAACAAATTGCATATATCATTAGGTGTTGATTATTGAATATTTGAAGGGATATTTTGTGGATATTGTAGTAATTTCAATAGTTGATATCACGAGTCACTTGAAGCTAGATCATCATGGAAAACCTGGAAACACTAGACTCCTAAAAAGTGCTCATCCAAGATTCCACCGCGTGACATTCCAACTCAGGATCTATCGGTCTCGCGCGCCAATGACTAATCTCTAAACTACTGAAATTGATGGAATTCAACGGTGTTAATGTCTAACTTCAACTAATTTACGAAATTGAGCGACACCATCCACCATTGCTTTCATTGAATTATTATCTCACAACAGACCCAGTTGAACTGCACTGGTCACTGTTTCTCACTAGAACTCCAGGAAATACCTCTTGAAACCAGTCATTATTGAGCATACGTTGATTGATATCAGAAGGAAGTTTTTGCGGATATTATAGTCATTTCAATAGATGACATCATGAGTCAATTGAATCTAGATCATCATGGAAAACCTGGAAGAACTGAATATTTCATTAAGTCAATCGTTTATAATCTTAGTCATCCTGATCAGGATGTTACTGACATAAAGTTTATTTTATTCAGATAATTCTTTATTCAAATAATTATGAATTTTTTCTTAGTAACTTTTGTATATTACTTGATACCATAAACAGTTAGACATTAAAACATCGTTGGATCTTAGTTTAATAGATTAGAGGTTAAACATTTAATGTTGAGACCTAATCTCTTCAGTTCGATTCCCTATGATGATGATTGCGCTCTGATGAATAGTCCTATACTATAATGTAACAACCATCCATTGATGGTTACCTACCTATTCCAGTCGTTATCTTCATATTTCAACAAGTTATCTGTTTTTGTTTGTTTGTTTGTTTGTTTCAATACATCATTGTTGTCTATTAATCGTATATCCTATTCAAGTGTGTTTATCAAAACCTTATGACCTTTCTCAGTACAACTTACAATAAAGTACAGTTATCATGCATTGTAAACAAGGAACACTATTCACATATGAATTCATGAATTGCTAACATGGAACTTATGGTCACTCAGTATCTATCATCAGGATCCATCAAGAATTAAGTAAAGGGAACTTGTTGAAATACTTTGTTCAGTGAATTCTATGTTGTACCAAAAACTATAACGCTGAATTAAGCCATTAACAATCATTATGATCAAATTGGAATGGATATATGACAATAGAATACTGTAAAAATACAAATTGTAAGATTCAGTACAGCGTAACTATTTGAATTAACATAAACTTGTAGTGGTTTTCCTTCGATAACCGATCACCTTCGTAACCGTTATAATATAAATCTCAACGATGTTTGAAATTAGAAGGTAAAGAGAAGCGACAACTAGCGGATAGCACAAATCACAAAATTATAAGCACATCGAGTGAATTTGAAGCGGAGAGGCGAATAAGCAAATCCATAAGCAAAGCAAAGGCTAATGATACGATTTGAGTACATACATACATGGAGTGGGTGGACGAATGGTCGAGTGATATTTAAGCAATTAACATTTTAACTAGAGTCTGTGTCATGTGCTCTAGTTGATCATAACGGTGCAAAGAAATATGCGAATTGTTACTATTCAAATAGCATTGTCTGTTAAGTAAGTTAATAAAAGGGCTTAACGAAAATGTAACCATCATCGAAATCGGTTGTAGGATAGTTGCTATAATCGGCGAGATTGCAATTTATGGACGGACCAATCTGATATCAGATAATAGGTCTCGGATTTCGGAGCGAAATTCACTCATCCATTTGGTTAAATAGAGTTTTGGTATTATATCTGATGTCTGTTCATAGTGAAAACTCTAAATCTAATTCCTAACCCCTAACCATCAACTGTAAATCATAATTCTAATTCCTCACACAGGTTTATAACCTTCATTTGGTTCTGGTTATTAAATGGACACTCTCGAGGTCAGTTTGGCGTCACTCAAAGGTCGTCCATAACTTATAGTCTTACCAAACAATCTATTTTATAATACAAGACAACATACTTACTTTGCAAAGCTTCTATAGTCTTCTTTATCAGTAAAATCATCTGTTTTATTCCCTAAAGATGTCAATAGAATTGAAGCTAATAGAGCAGCTGCGATAGGTTCCTGGAAAATAAATACAAATAATAGATTATATTAACAGTATAAGGTTGTGGAGATAGTTAAATCTCATTGAAATCATGAACTGAATAATGCCAGATTACCGTTAGAAACCTCATAGTACTTGTATAGGATTCCTTATAAGTGTGTATCCATGACCCTGCAAGCGGGAACCGAACTCAGGAACTTCGGTCTCGCCCGCAAACAACCCCGATAATTTGAAGCATACAAAGTATATTCATTTAGCTTCACAACGAAAAACATTCATTATTCAAGAAAGTTTATAAACGAGCAAGCGCTAAGGGATCTATCAACTTCTATCTTGTGTCCGGTGCTTAGCCTTCAAACCATTGAATCACTATTCATCCAAACCATTCAAAAAAATTGATTATTCTGCTAATTGAATCCTTAATTCCATTTCCTAGATAGTTCTAATAAACCCAGACTATATTCACACGACAATTTGAAGCGAAGTGCAAAATCAAGGATTTGTTTGTCTCTCAAAATAAATCAAAATGATTCATGAGAATGTACTATTGTTTATACTATTTATTTGCATTTTGATTAAGAGTCACAGTTTGTATAAGTTAAACTGAGTCGTATTTTTACAGATGAATTCATCAGTTGATCTAGGCTAGACTTTCATTGAAAACCTGCAAGCCATTGACGAACGTTTCGTCCTAGTATGGGACTCCTCAGAAGTCCACGTCCATGATCTTACACGAGGGAATTCAGCTGTGAAAATACTACAATCTTCAAAAATTCCTCCATTTAGTCGTATTTATTAAAAGGCGATTCAATAACCTACCATGTGAACTAAAGCTATTAAAACAGTAATCGAAAACTTATGTGACAAGCGAACAACACGGATGTTTCCATGTTGAGCTTTACATCATGGTCAGAGGTCAATTTAAGAAACTTGTAATGAGTAAGGAGGTGTATTGAGTTACTCCCTACTCTTATGTCCAATAGTTGGTTTGTTTTAACTAATTACAATTAGGAAAGAACAGACAGCTTCCACATTTGATAAATGCATCTCACAGGTTCAAGTAAGGCTGACGACAACAGTTTTAAAGATGCGTTTAGTACGATGAGCCATTCACTTTAAGCTTTAACAGGTGTCTACTTCAGTACAATGGAAGATGGTCGCGCAACTTGAGGTTAAACATTAACACCGTTGGATGTCGGCTCAGTGGTCTAGTAGGTTATGCGTTAGCGCGCGAGACTGAAGGTCCTGGGTTCGAATCCCTTCGGCGCAGGATCGTGGATGAGCACTGCTGAGGAGTCCCACAATAGAACGAACTGGTCGTCCAGTGCTTCTAGGTTTTCAATGGTGGTCTAACATCAATCGGTTCATGATCTCAATCAGAAAAAAACTTAACAATCTACACAACCCCTAAACTGATGTTTCCCATAAATATTGGGAAGAATTCGAAATAATTTAGAACATAACCTTGATGTAAACTGTCTTTGATAACATTTCCGTAGGTATATGCGTTAAAAATGATACTGGAAATCATCTGGTTAAGTCAGTTTATCTATTCTCCAAGTGGTCTCCGTGTTTCAAGGCCCACAAACACACCACGCATATACGATTTCGTGGATGAATTAGAGCCCCTGGGTTTTGACGTGCGGGTTCCTCATGAGGGGTAAATATATGACACGTGTACATTGGTAACGTATAAATTCACAGTAATGAATCGTACATAATACATATAGATATATTGACCTACTTGGAAATGTAGATAATCACCATTTCCTTACATGAATATCTCTTATGTATTGCATCCATACCATTGGTACAATGACTTTCGTCTATGTACTTCATAACATATGCATAAGTATAAGCACTATCGGGAAGGAATGATGGTCACCTCTCCATATCTTTTTATTTTGTTTTCAACTTGTTGGACTAGGTCACTGATTTGATTAGACATAAGACAGAGTCTAGTGCGTACACTTTGCATATAACTAAGTATACAATTACACAATCCGAGACTCATACTTAAGTATACACACTGAACAGTCCACAAGAATTGTAACCTATGAATTTGGAAACCCTAAGTAATCCAGTTTATAAGAGGATAGTAGATTAGTTCGATCTCCATCAACCATCTAGGTTAGCTACTAAAATTCCCTTTAGTACTTGGTACCAACTTGCATACTAGATTAAACATGATCTAATTAAACAATAATAATAATAAAGTAAATATGATTCTTATTACTTTTTCCATCGTCCAAAATAATTCAGCCATACGTAGTTTACCAACTAATATAGACCAAATTAATAGTTCTCTAGCTGGACGATCCAATTGAATTGATTTTGTTTGTTCTTCATCTAATTAAATCGTTTAGGTTTATGTGTATGTGTGTACATGTGTGTGTGTGTGTGTGTGTGGTTCAGATAATAACACAAAGTCAATAACCAATAATATTGTATTCAATAGATTGAATTTGGGAAAGCCAAAATAGAGACGTCAGATTTCCAGTTTCATGAAGAAACGAACAGATAGGAAGCAATGAAACAAAGAAAAACACAAAAAAAAGAAGGCAAAAAGAGGTGGTATTAAGTTAAAGAAAAAAAAAGGAATCGTACTAATTCTAAGTATAATCGTCAGTAGTTTTGTTAATTCAACATGTTGTTACTAAGCCAATATACATATATGTATATACACAATTCTACACAGAACAATTACAATTAGGTTCTCGTCAAAAATAAAAACTAACCATTTGGTTAATCATTATAAGAGTTTACGTAAGAATTAGGTTTGATACAATTCAATGATGAATACACACAAATACATACATACACGTACACATACACATAAATGTAAAAAAAAGAGGGGAGGAACAAACATGTCACTAAGATGATAAGTGAAGAGGAGCATGGGAAGAGGAAGGCAGGGAGGGAGAGAGAGAGAGGGGGGAGGGAAGATAATAAACTGTTCATTCAAGAAATATTCATGATTAATGATCGTGCAAAATTCAATAATCGTTCAGTAATGTTTACCATTTTCTTTTCTTTTTAATTGCCGTGCATAAAGATAATTAATGAGTCTCAATATTAATAGAAATGGAATGAATGAATAATACTGAGCTTAAAGTTATAGATTCAGTGAAAAATTCAAGATAAAGTTGATCAATTCATAATCTTAATCAATAATATTTACTTTCAGAAGGGGTTTTGTGGAGATTTTAGAAATTTCACTGATTGAAATCATGAGTCAATTGAAGCTAGACCACCATGGAAAACCTGGAAGCACTGGACGGCCGTTTCGTTCTAGTATGGGATTCCTCAGCAGTGCGCATTCATGATCCCGCATCCCGCGAGGATTGGTTGAAGTTGTATATTAACACTGTTGGATGCCGGCTCAGTGCTCTAGTTGGTTAAGCGCCTGGCGCGAGATTGACAGGTCCTGTGTTCAAATCTCGCGGGTTGCGGGATCATGAATGGACACTGCTGAGCAGTCCCATACTATGACGAAACGGTCATCCAGTGCTTCTAGGTTTTCCATGGTGGTCTAGCTTCAATTGACTCATGATTTCAATCAGTGAAATTTCTAAAATCTCCACAAAACCCCTTCTGAAAGTAAATATTATTGATTAAGATTATGAATTGATCAATGTTAGAATAGAATTGACAATCTGGAAGTACTGGATAACTGTCTCGTTTTAGTATGAGACTCCTCAATAGTGCACATTTACGATTCTATACCAAAGGGATTCGAACATAGGACTTTTAGTCCCTCGTGTGAATGCTTGATCACTGTGTTAATAATTAACTTCAATTGATCTATGATCTTGTACAACCTTTCATCTATTGTTTGAGGTAGATAATTGTCTCATACCCGAAACAGATTGAACTCTATTGCTCACGGTTTCTCACTATAACTCTGATAATTACTTCTTAGAGTTAGTCACTAGTGAACAGTATGAGAGAAGACACATACTATGAAGAAACGGATGTCCAATGATTCCAAGTTTTCACTAGTGGCCTAACATTGATCGTCTCATGATCTCAGTCAAAAACTCAGCAAGCTTTACAACCTCATACTAGTAATAATAATAATTATGAACAGAATACTGAGTTATGTAAAAGACACATTTTAAAAGAAAACCCCAATCCTTGTAACAGTCACATTGATCCGTAATTGAATAGTGTTGAAATAACTTTAAGTATATAAATGATTCAACAGTGTTATGTACAGTTACCTTCATGTTGTAGGATTTAATACATAAGTGCTAAGTGATATGGACACAGTGAAGAAATCATAATGTACAACTTAAATTCCGTGTATTATGAAATATTTAGTTAGATTTACCTTATGATCTGAATCAATATACATTCTCATTGATAACTTAGAAATCATTAGGTGTTATAATTTTATGATTTTACTTCTAAGCCACTGGCAGGGAACTCCTAATTACTGCATTCTGGTGGCGAAGGTATTGTTTAATTATTTGAGAAAACAAAAAGCGAATGTTCAGCACTTTATCCAGGTTAGTGGACACGGAGGGTCCACCTAAGGAAGTTGGAAAACCCTGATTCCAAATCAATGGTGTACATAGAATTCAGGATCCTGAAGGAACAAATGGCATATGAACCAATCATTCGTTACAAACTACCATAGGACTATATCTTCCAACATTGTTCCACTGACTTGTGGATTAGACCTTTAGGTCAAAGGCTCTGAGTGTTGCCCCTCAAGAAAACCATCAGTTGAGGTTTCAGCAGCCGAGCAGTATGCCAGCCCTCACACAAGTTGAATGATTTATGTGGCGCATATCTATTTAGTCCCTCCTTGTACCAATATTTATGTGTTTAAATAATAATAATAATAATAATAATAATAATAATAATAATAATAATAATAACCATCTACCTGGATTCTTATATGTATACAATGGAATACAATATGTCATCAACGCTATACTACCATTGCATATTAGTCAAAAACTGTTTATGTATTACAATACAACTCTTGTAGACTGTTGTAATCAATATATTAACCTAACACTTACAACTAAATAATGATCATGGATGTGCACTGCTGAGAAGTCCCACAATAGGACGAAATGGCCGTCCAGTGCTTCCAGGTTTTCAATGGTGGTTTAACGTCAATCGGTTCATGATCTCAATTAAAAAAACTTAACAATCTCCACGACCCCTAAACTGAAAATCTCAATCATTTGATCTCCCAACATATCAAGATATATCACGGTATCATCTAGAGACAAGAGGACAGGGAATGTCTTTATAAATCGTCATGGCTATTTTACCGAACTCTCCTCAATAAAACATCTATTCTTGATTAAACTCTATGAACTGTTTTTTTTTCTCGAATCTATATACAAATAATATCTTTACAGATTATAAAGATTTGGAATTTCCATTTTGTACATGTATTGCATTCAAATATTGTAATAGTTAAGTTCATGGGTCGACTAAAGCTAGATCATCATAAAAAACTTGAAAGCACTGGATGATCTTTTCGTCCTAGTATAGGACTCCTCATCAGTGCGAGATCATGGATGTGCTCTGTTTTTATTCATTGTAACAACGTTTATATCCTGTATATGTATAAGAACAGTAATACCATATAGTGACTTAAATCATATCATTTGTTTTATGTAGCGGAAACTTGAATAACTACTAAAGTCATCATTCAGAAGATACAGATGCTTATTAACAGTTGCCTACGCAAAATACTCCGGATTCATTGGCCAAATACTATCAACAACAACTTACTATGAGAGAGAACAAACCACATCACAGAGGAAGAACAAATCAAGAAGAAGCATTAATGAATGGATAGGACATACATTAAGTATAAAGTACTCAACTATGTCATAAGATAAACTCTCATCATTTGAAATCCTCAAAATCAAAAGAACAAGAATAAGACCAATGAAGAACACATTATACCGAGAAATAGAAACAAATAGGAAAACAATGAACAACAATTGAATATTTTTTTGATTAAGATCATGAACCGATTGATGTTAGACCACCTTTGGAAACCTGGAAGCACTACACAGCCGTTTCGTCCGATTGTCGGACTCCTCAGCAGTACGCGTCCACGATCCCGCCCGCGGGATTCGAACACAGGGCCTTCAGTCTTGTGCGTGAACGCTTAACCAACTGGACCACTGAGCCGACTGGCATCCAATGGTGATATTGTCTAACCTCAACCAATCCACGTAATTGCGCGACTTATTCTAGTAAACAATTGAATAGAACAAGAAATGATGATCCTAAACACAATGGATTGAATTTAATTGAACAATCATCAATCATTTTTTGTTTTCATTTCATAGAAATTAAAATAAACAAAAAATATTTTTTTTTCTTTTTTTCTCTCTCTCTCTCATCTTCTTTCTATTTCCATGCAATCAATGTAAATATATTAACCATTGAATAATTCAATCTATTTTCAATGGAATACATTTCATGTAGCCATGGTTACAATGAAGATTGAATTTGAAAAAAAAAGAAGAACACAACTAAATAGACTGGGGGACAATTTAAAAAATGTAACTAATTAATTAACTAATTAATTAATTGGTAAGACAAGACAATCTCACAAATACGTTTAAATTTATAGGGGGATATATATATTTATACAGTAAATATAAGACAAACAAACAAACACATACACGCACACACACGCACACACACTACGCACACGCACATACACACCTAGGGAGATGACTTTAAAAAGTAAATGATGAACATGCACAACTGGGTTTTTTCTTTTTCTTTTTCTTTTCTTTTTCTTTATTTTTTCTTTCAATTTAATTCATTAAATAACTTTTAATTTGTTTTTTTTTCTTCGTTTTTTTCTCTTTTTTTCTCTCCAAAAAAATATTTTTAATGACTAATTTGTTAGTTGAATGATAAAAAACATAAATGAGGAAAGATTAAATTCAGAAAGAAAGAAAGAAAGAGAGAAAGAAAGAAAGAAAGAAAAACAAAACAACAAGAAAAGTAACACTTACAATCTTCTGTAACCATATCAGGATGATCTAGATGCATCATTTTAACTGTAAGAATACATATTTGTATATATATATATATATATATATATATATATATGATTACGTAATCACTTCTAGGATAATATGAATTACATTTATAATCTGTATAAATATGTCATACATAGGAGGTAAAACCCAGATCACACGTCCTTATTATGCCTCTTAGATAGTGAGACTTGTACCATAAGCTAAGATGAGCGGTAAACTGAGTGATAGAGATTGGACTAATCAACCAGTTGACCGATACCCATAAACGATTACAAGTGATACAAAAATTGTCATAAATACAGGCGAGATTCTAATTTATGGACGAGCCAGTCAGAGGCGTTTTAGTGATTTCAAGGTTACGGCGCCAATTTCAGTGCTTAATGCTAACATAAGATCGGTTCACACGGAATTTTGTACAAAACGTGATCATTGAGCGGCTATAACAAAAAAACGGCGGGACTATAATTTGTTGATGAATCAATCAAGTATAAGATAATAGATCTCGGATTTTAACGCGAAAGCCTTTCATTCATTTGGCTAAATAGATTTCTGGCATTATAGCTGATGTCAGTTCGTGATGAAAACCCTATATGTAATTCCTAACTGAAGCAAATTATGACAAATATTGCGAACTGGATAATAAAAGCACCAGTAACACCGGCTGCAGCCAAGTACTACAATATATACGGATGATTGGAGAGCGTACACACTCCTATATAGGCTTGGTTATGTGCATCGTGTCGTTATCCACGAGTAGCATTTTGTCCACTTAACAACTGGAGTGCACATAAACAATATTGAAGCTATGTGGTGGATGCTGAAAGAGTTTTTGAGACTTTATCATGACTCCAGAGGCCGACTATTCTGTAGCCGTATGGACGATTTGCTCTACTGCACGCATTACAATTTTAGAACCTCTGAACCTCCTTCTAACCCTGACAAGTTTTTGAACCACGTCTAAGAAGTGTATCCACTTTATTTCTTTTGTTTTGTATAACATCTTTTTACTCTATATTGACTGTTTGCTGATTAGCTAATATTTCTCATGGTCGCTTAAGATTCGTTCAAAGCTTGTCCATAAGTAGTTAGGGTCTCGCCTAAATACATTATGAGGGATCTTTTATTGTAATATTATTTATATGTATCACTATTGAAGAATACAAGCGTTAAAATATATTTACATTAAAAAACAAGATAGTGATTAACAGTGGAATCCTGCATTAAAGAAGGATCTGATATATATGACATTGATCACCCACTTAGTGATCAATCAATTTGAAGTAATACTAAACAAACACAAAGCAAACATTTATAATCAGTATAGAATTGTATAGATTGTTAAGTTGTAATTGAGATCATGAACTGACCAATGTTAATTAACCATTATTGAATACTTGGAAATACTGAATGGTCACTTCGTTCTAGTATAGAATTTCTTAGCATTGAGCATCCACGCATCCTGTATCAAACCCAAGACCTTTGATCCTTCAAATGAATGTGTAACCGCTAGATCATTAAGTTGACATCAATGAACCCATAATACTACATGATCAATATTCTATTGTCTTCAATGTTTAACTATCATACATCTGACACAGTTGAATTTCACTAGTTTTCAGTGATAGTCTAACATTGTTTAGATCTTGATCACAATTTAAGGTTTCACAAATGTAACGTTTAAGATGGTAATAATAACTTATTACATCATATTGTCAAATATTACTTTACATGTTATATTATAATAGATACATAAAATAGAGTAAAATTGGGAGAAAGAGGGAGAGGGGGGGAGAGAGGGGGGTAATTACACAATATTTCTTGATCACAATATAGAAACAAAAACATAAAAGAAACACATTAAAAGCTAACATTCACATACATAGAAATACAAGACAAGTTAGATGCAATTCAATAGATTAATCTATTCAATAAAACAATGAAACTTCTATTATGATCCTTAATCTTAGATACAATGAAGTACAATGAAGTAGTTAGTAATATTAGTAATATATATATATGTATATATATATATTTACCAAAACAATGAATTCATTTCAATTCGAGCAAAATTACAAATGTAACCCCCTTCACTCTCTCTCTCTCTCCCACCCACCCCTCTCTCTCTATCACCCTAGTTACTTGTTATTTATGCAATTAATAATTACATAACAATTATTTGTTATTTATACAATATAATAATGAATTAGTTCTATTATAATGCATGACAACATTCACTACTACCTGGTTCAAAGAAATTTGATGGAATTAATAAATCTGAAAATAGATTGTAGATATCAAATAATAATAATAATAAAGATCAATAATAATAATAATAATCATAGAAACATTACAAAAATCGATTATTGACTAGTACATGACATGTAGAAGGGGAGTCGATATTCCTTCATGAGGAGTAACAGGCGTAAGTAAGTAAGTGAGCATTCTGTTCACTTTTAATATCAGCTCGAGACAAACATTTTGTGACGACGGACCACCAGTGAACTCGAGGAAGCTGTAAGAGGCTCCGAAGGAGCCGAAGATGTTCCATCCAATCACCTTTCAGAAGAATATTCTAGAATTCGCACGTGTAGCGTCCCTATTGGATAATGCTACCTGTATGCCACCTGTATGCGGATTGGAGGACTGTAATGATGATTTCGTTCTTACTATAAACTATAAATACCTGACAATTTTGTACTATGATTGACAATGTTTGGAATAATATTCCTTTCATCAGTCTTCTGTCTTCTTATTGCTACTTGGAAAGATTTTGGTGTTCTAGTGTTATGTTATACGCGGTATATCAAGAAATCAACATTCAAGTTATAACACATTTGCCAAGAGGATTAGTGTTAAAACGTTCGTTTTACTTCATCGACACGAATGGGATGTTAATGTATCACCTTAGACGAATATCTACAGTAGATTCCCTTCCAGTATCTGTTCTACAGGATTTCAATACAACTCAGATCAAGAACATATGATTAACTTGACTAGAACGTAGATATATTTCCACATCCAAAAACCGATAACAATCCGACACAATACAACACATAAAGAAGAAGAGTTGATGCTCCTACATGAGTGGTAACAGGAGTAAGTATTGTTTTTTAATATCAACTTGGAACAAACATTTGCTGAGTGCATTTATGTTATAACACTTGGTTTTCTTCGTCTACATGAATGGGATATTCATTTAACTTAGACGAATATCTATACTAAATACCCTTCCAGTGTCTATTCTACAGGATTTCAACACAACTCAGATCAAGAACATGTGATTAACCTAACTAGAACGTAGATATAATTCCAAATCCCAAAACCCGACACAATCCAACAACAATGAACAATCAATAATAATAATTATTATTATAAGGATAGGGGAATGTATAACTCATCTAAGACCTATCAGACTATCTATAAATTTGACTAAGCAAACAACCTAATCATTATCATCCTCTCTCACATATCAATGGAATTCATTTATCTAATACTGTTAGGCAAATACACACTGAAGGTAATATATTTATTAACAAAGAACACTTCAATTTGAGCTAAGATATTATATTGTATTCAACTTCCTTTAATCATAATTGGTAACATGTTATTCTAATTACTTGAATTAGAAAGAAATAACGATCATAGAAGAAAAAATAAAGATGGATTCATGAATTAAGTGATCTCGTTTACGACTTAGAATCAACTTCATTAACCACCTGGAACTCCTCTGGGACTATTGCCGATCACAAGTCCGGATAAATGAGGTGAGTTGTGCATAGGGTTACCTACCCCACTCTGTAGAAAACTAACCCGTTTTAAAGAAAAAAAACGCTAACCAGAAATTAAACTCATTTAAACATATACATTCGATTTACACATTGATGTACAGTCATAAACGACGACAAATAGGAAGGTGTATATAAATGAGCAATTATGAATGTAAAAAAACAACAACCTGATAAGATATGATGACAGATATGTATCGTCATCTATTGTTAAGCACATAATGAAACCAGATTATAAGTTTGATCTTAACTACGGGGCTTTTGTAGTTAAGCACATAAGCTTTAGGTTATGATTAAATTCAAAACCATTTAGTGTATTCAAACAAAGAGTTTATTGACTTTGTAAACTTAATCTGGTAACTGCTAGGGTTGAAGTTATCAAGAGCTCACTTAATCTACGAACGAGAAACAAGACTCAGTGAACAAAGACCAGTAAGCTAGCTATTAATGTGTCCCAGCCCCGCTAACTAGATTGAGAAGTTCAAGCTTGGAATGGGGAAGTATGTTCTGCAAACAGCCAGAAACGAGCGATAACAACAAACACAATTCAAAACATATATATATAGTACAAAAAAGTCCTTAGGAAGAGTTACCAAATAGCATACTAAAAGACGTAACGAACCAATAGCATTTAAGATATTTCCCAATGGAAGATACAACATGAAGGTGACAAGAGCGCCTAAATAAAATTAAAAAATTAGGTCCTTTATTAAGTGAGTTCTGGGGATCTAACGCTCCCAACAGTAACATATTTCTATTATCCGGTAGGCTTGCCTGAATATCTGGGCTATTTGTTCCTATCATCTAGATATTTCAACAAGTGATCTGTTTGTGTTTGTTTGTTTGAACACATCATTATGTCTATTAATTACATAACCTATTCAGGAATGTTTATGAGAAAAATTTACGACTTTTCTCTGTATAACCTACAATAAAGTTCAATCATCATCAGAAACATCGTGGTGGTTGGTAGTCAATATACATTGAAAACAATGAACATCATTCAGATGTCGATTCCTGAACTACTAACATATAACTTAGAATCATTTAATATTTATCATCAAGATCGATCATGACATAAGAAACTGAAACTTGATTGACGTCATTAATCGATTAATGTTAGACCACGATTGAATACCTGCAAGCACTGAACGGCCGCTTCGTCCTATTATGAGACTCTTCAGCAGTATGCATCCATGATACCGCTCATGGGATTCGATCGTCGATCCATACACAATGATGATTTACAAGTATATATATGTAAAGAAAAAAAACCTAATCTGCTTGATATTAGTCCGTATTAATAAACTATCTTCGTATGAATGGAACTTCTAGGAAAATGTTTAGTTCTTATAAACTAAGCTAACAACACATTAATAGATATTGTTCATTATGAAAGTATTTGATACATTCGTTTAATGTATTCATTGATGTAAAACTATTTACAAGAGTATATGAGGAGACTGAGTAGTCCAGATGACTGAGCTGTCCAAAGCGCTGTGTTCAAGTCGCAGTCCACTCTGTGAGAGTCGGTTTGAATCCCACTCCTGACAATACATACATAAGGAGACTAATAATTTATGAACGATCTTTAAGCAATGCTATCGTGTTCTTGAGAATGTACACCTTCTTACTAGAGCTAAATGACGGTTATAAACCTGTGTAAAAAGTAAGGATAGTCATTTACAATTGATGGTTAGATTTAGAAACTAGATTTAAAGTTTTCATCATCAACTGACACCAGCTAAAATATTAAAACTTTATTTAACCAAATAGATGAATGAATTTTGCGCCAAAATCTAAGATCTATTATCTTAAATCTGATTGGTTCATTCATAAATAATGATCTTACCGCGTAAATTAAATAATCCAATGTATCTAATTTCAATGATAAAATGTATGCTTTATGTAATTAGATTTTCATGCATAAAGACAATTATAGACATACATTGAATCATCTATCTACTCAATGAAATAACATTAAGATCAAATAGAAGTAAAATAGAAGTTTGTAATCAACATAGTAAAATGAACAATGTCTACAGGGAACAAATACTTAGATAGGGGTAAATCAATTATACATTCGATATTTGTACGACATATTGATCACCACCCAGTGATCAATCAATTGTGATTACATCTCAGTCCTACAGGAGGTCAGTCGTGGCCTGGATAGCCCAGTGCAAAAGTCTCTGACTGTAAAGCTGGGTGACATGGGATCGAATCCTTCAGGGAGCACTAGTTCCCTTAAGACTACAGGTACACCTTGTTGATGAGTGCCAAAGAGCATTAAACCTAGGTCCAAGGTCTCCTGTTAACTACCTTCAACCACCATCCTATCACATTATATTAGTACTCTTTCTAGATATATCACCTTTAAAGGTAGTATGATTTGAAAGTTATAATCAAGTAATGATTGTTTTATAAGAAAGTACTACTCAATAAGCCTATAATCGTTTGATCGAGTACTTTTTTCATTGGATACAGTAATAACTAGATACATTCAGTGTTACAAATTGTCTTATTCAGTGAACACATACAATACATATAAGCGTAAGTGAGGATGAAATAGCATATAAATATGTATGGCTGAATAACATCAGCAACAGCCTACTGTGGGAGAGAACAATCCAATTTCCAGTTGAAGAGGAAATTAAGAATGTACTCTGGAGTCGGATTGAATATACATTATGGATATCTAGGAATTGTACCATAAGCCGAGCCCTAAACTAGAATCCTGAAGATAAAGAAGTAAGAAAAAGGGAAATATCAAAGAACATATTATGTTAGGAATTGGAATCAGATATGAAAAAAAGGGAATAACAACAGGGAACAATTGGGAAGGATTGTTCATGGATAGAGTTTGATAAAGAATGCTGGTAGGTAGGTGGCTTATGCACTTCAATAAGGTTTAACAAAAATAAGCATGTATACAACACATAGATAACTATACTGTTAATCAAAACGTGTACTCAATCTAACCAATAATAATTAAAGAAATGAAAAGTCATAAACTGTTGAAAGGTTATCTATGTTACAGTCAACTTCTTATCAAGATATATGCTTGAATGAAATGTCTTATGCAATATAAATTGATTGAATTAATAACATTGAAAACAATCATGAACATATAGGATCTTGAATAACATTATTGTCTATTGAACGTCGGGAAATAGAAGCAGATATGAAAAAGGATGAATAGCAACTGAGAAGAGTTGGAAAGGGAATGCTCAGTACAGGGTTGGATGGAGAGTGTTGGTGAGCGGCCTATGCTCCTCCACGAGGAGTAACAGGCATAAGTAAGAAACTATTGAACTTAGTTATGTAAAAATTGTTAAAATTTCATCATGAAAATAAAGTTGAAAACGTTATGTTTTAATAATGCTCGATTGCCTATACTTCATTAGGGGTCATAGACGTAAGTAAGCAGGCAAAATAATAACAGTCATATACCATGAATCCAATTGATTAATTCACTTTATTAAACTAGATTTAGATGTACTACAAATAGAAATATCGATTAACATAATTCAGGACGTGCGACATTTCGTCCTATTTGATCTCATCAGTTGGGCGTATCTGCATCTCAGAGTTAATGTCCACTCGTGGACTCAAGCCCAGCACCGTTCGCCTCGAACGTGATTGTGTTACCCTTTTAGATACTGAGTCCTAATAGACTCTAACTTGTGCAATGGGGTGTGCCGATAATAGATGGATCAAAAGCATTCCTAAACATCAATGTGAAGATTTAAACAATCAATACAAAATGAATTAACATAATAGTTACTTACCTCCTGGAGAAGTTTTCGTTGGATCTGCTACAGCTGTTGCTGCTGTCGCTGCAGCTAATGCAGCCATTGCACGAAGAGTGGCAAATTCTTTAGGCCCTTTAATACCAGACGGTTCTTGACTAACATTTAAACTTTTGTTTGATTTCTTTGAATCAGTATTACATCTGAATAATCGACTACAGAATGATGAAATTTTTTGTATACATGACATGAAACATGATCTAGATGGTTTATTATTTGCTTCATCTTCAAAAAGTACCGGTTTAATTGATTTTTCATTTTGTATTGGAGAAATCAGTACAGAATTACGTTGTACATGTTCATTGTCGAATGAAAATTGTAATGTATCATTTATAGCTGGTTTCGGTGATTGAATCGGAGTTGTTGTTCCCATAGAAGTGGTATCATAAGCCAATGGTGCTTTTCCAGCTATACGGAAATGACCTGGACCAAGACTTGTATATGGACCACGTGAACCATGGCCTGACCGACTAACATTAGTCACTGTTGCATTATATATAAGTGGTTGACCTGGTATCAACATATCATGTTCATTGGTTTGAGATGATGAACGTCGACCATGTTTATTTCGACTACCTTTTTAAACAAAATGGTTACATATATTTTTATACCACAGTTAGCTAAAGAGAAGTGGTATGTATAAACATGGATAGAAGAGCACTGCAAAGTTTACCACTGGTAAAAATATAGATAACTTAAAATAAATAATGAAACGTAGACCACTGACCATTGGTTAGATTGTTATCCATAAAAACAGTGTGTAATCCCACTTCTCCTAACTAAGAGATTGCTTTTCTGAAGAAGGGAGATATTATAAGCTCATTACTTTTTGATTTAAATCATGAATAGATTGATGTTAGACCACCATTGAAGACATGGAAGCAATGGACAGCCATTTTGTCCTCTTCAGTAGTGCTCATTCGCAATCCCGCTCGCGGGTCTCGAACCCAGGACTTATCAGTCTCGCGCGCGAACGCTTAACTTCTAGACCGTTAAGCTGGTATCCAACTGTTTTAATGTCTGACTTCAAATAATTCACGAAATAGCTCGACCATCTTCCATTGCACTGAGGTAGATACCTATCTCTATTCAACAAGGATTAGATCCACTAGCCAAGGTTTCTCACTAGAACTCCGAGAATTCTGTCACAAAGGTAATCACCAGTGAGCACATGGTTACATTTATTAACAAGATAAGTCAGTTTAAATCTTAAGATTCATTTTTTTGATGACATATAGTGTTTACAATTACTGTAACTCTTTCAACGTCTAACTTCAATTACCAACATAATTTGTTCTCGGATCTTCCTCTTTTCCTTTTGTCTTCAGAAGTTCAAGTGAGGGCTTGGATCGTGAAGCATTTTTATGATTTTTTTAATATACGTTCTACCACCCTCGAACATCTCTTCTTAATTTCCTTTATAACTTAGAGTTAATTTGTTAACTCCGATGGTAGATCATTACTGATAGTATTTGGCTGACGAATCTAATGTCTTAGGTATATAAATACTCATACTTGATGATGGTTATTGTAACTCTCCAAGTTTCAGCTCCATATCACAGAACTATGTTAACGTTTGTGTTGAAGATTCTGACTTTCAAGTTGAATGACAGTTGTTTTGAATTACAGATGTTCTTCAATTGTACAAATACTGCTCTTGCTTTGCTAATCCTTGTCTTCACATCCTTATCAAATCCTCCTTGTTTATCGATGATGCTGTCCAGGTATGCGAAAGATTCGACATCTTCTAGAGCTCCTCCATCTATTGTGATTGAGTTGGTGTTCTCCACATTGCATTTTAGGATCTTGGTTTTTCCCTTGTGTATGTGAAGGCTTACTGCTGTAGAGGTGGCTGCAACATTGGTTGTTTTCATCTTCATTTGTTGGAGTGTATGGGATAGAAGTGCTAGGTAACCGATGAAGTACAAATTGTCAAGTTGCATGGAAGCTGTAAATTGTGTTCCGTGTTTCTCCTCAAATGTGAAGGCTTTTATAATCCAATCGATCATAAGAAAAAAGAGAAAGGGTGAGAGTAGACAGTCTTATTCGACACCAGTGTTCACTTGGAATGTATCTGTAAGCTGTCCTTCATTCATGAAATTGCAGTATAGTTCGTCTTACGAAATCTGTATAATGTTGACGATTTTCTCATGTACACCTTGTATCAAACGCTTCCTCATAGTCAAGGAAGTTAATGTATTATGACGATTCCCATCCAATTGATTACTCAACTATGACCAGCAGTGTCACGATTTGGTCTATGCACGGCTTATCCTTACAGAATCTGGTCTGTAGATCTCTAAACTAGTCCCAGATGTTCAGTTCAGTTTAATTACCAACTTCCAATGTTTTGGATTAGAATTTCCATATAAATGTTAATGATCGCGTTTTGAATCAAACTATCCAGCTCAGAGTACAAAACTCCATCAAAAAGATTACTGGTATAACAGTCCTACAAAGTTTGTCTAACTTCAACTCACCGAGTGTATCTTAATATATTCATCAATAATATAAAAACATGAAGATTATAGGATCATATTGTTGTGCTTCTGAATAGATCTATCGGAAAGTAATTTTCAGAGTTCTAATGTGAAGCTGAAACGAATGGAGGCTAACCATGTGGGATGTGGGGAAAATGCTCAATGAACATTATAAAAGATGGTCACACATTATCATGGATTAGTTGATGTTAGACTTGTATAACATCGGATGTTGGCTCAATAATCTCAAAATTAAGCTTTCTTGCCTGAGACCATAAGTCCTAGATTTGATTCTAGTGTCTAATACAAGTACAGCTCGTAGTCTTTGTTAATATGATTTAATGTTGTTAACTTACTTCATATTAAGCCGATTGTCACAAAACCTATGTGTAACAGATATATTAGGTGTACATTAATAACAGAGATCATTTCAAGCAAAGATGAATGATGTCTAACAGTGGAAATCACGACGAGCGTTTCATCCTATTTGGGAATCGTCAGATGGATGTACATGTGCATACCAGAGTTGATTTTCACTATAGGACTCAAAACCAATACCGTTCACTTCAAACGCCATCACGTTATCCACTTAGCTACCCCATTGCTTGTTAATTAGGTTTAAGTTTAAATTCACTTGGTATTGTTTACTCGAATCTTCTCACTGATGTTTAAGACTACAATTGATCAATGTCTTATTAGTATATGTGCATGCTGCGCGTATTTCCTCGAGATGCAGGCACTTCCAGCTGATGAGTCCAGAATAAGACGAAACCCTCGTCCTAGATTCCATCGTAAGCTACTATTCATCTTTGCTCAGAATGTTTGTGAATTAAGGCAATATGTACAGGACACACATATGCCAAAGTTCGAAAATATCAGTTTTCTAAATAAGGATAATTTGGAGAGTAAACAAAAGATTTAATCAGATGTAATCTGTTGTTTGCATTCCTGAAGAGCTCAACAATGTATCATATGTACAAACGCAGTTATGCTACATCCTGCATGCAAACACATGCAAAGCTCTTTTCATCATGTCATATAAACTAATGCATATTTCATTCAAGCTGAATATCAATTCGCATGCATCATACCAATACCTATGAAATGAATTAATAATAATTTAATATTCATTATATGGTATGGAGATTAGTAAGTTTTTGATTGAGATCATGAAACGATTGATGTTAAACCACCATTGAAAACCTGAAAGCACTGAGAAGTCGTTTCGTCCTACTATCGAACTCCTCAGCAGTGCACATCCACGATCCCGCTGGCGGGAGTTTTAGTCAGAAGATGTGATTAATGTATTTCAACCATGTTGGGTGTGAGACAGGAGTGAATCCACCTCGACGATTGGGAACAATAATCTTACGGACCTCAATTAGGAAGTGCAAACCTAATAACACGCTTCAATCCAATCGACAATGTTTTTATAAATTGGTGCCACGTTTTAGTTTGACCACCCCTAACTTTCTTCAGACCAACATCGACTCTCTAGGTAGGTAGTGGTTAAGTATGCATGATACATGTCCCAAACACCTCAAATGATGAAGATTTACCGTCTCATAAATCGACTTTCCATCCAATCGGGACTTCTGAATTTGTACTGAGATTTCGTCGGATATCAGATAATCAAGACTGATAAGATTCCCAACACAAGTGAATGGGTCGGTGTGTTCAACGAATTCACTCCTTATCATTAATTGAGTTGTTAACAAAAACCAAAGGATCTTATCTCAAATATATTTGTATTTTTGCTTAAGGCAGTTACAAGACTGCATATTTTCTGCGTTTTCACCAGAAACTAAAAAGTGGATCATCTGTGTATCCTAAGTCAGCAAGTGAATCTCTCATTCGAAGATTTCGAATCTACACTTGAATACTAAAAATAGCCAGACAGTAATTAATACGAAAAATCTTTAAAGTAACTGATTTTTCTAGAAATATACCTAAGAGACTCAAAGTTCTCTGGGAAATCCTTGACGTTTTGACCGAACTTTAATGATGACTCAAGAAATTGTTTAGACTTCAGTTTACTTATCATAGATGATTGATAAATTAGACATATTTAGATCGTAGTCAGAGTAGTCATAAAATAACATACAATTTATCTGCTTAGTAATAACAAGATGGTTGCAGGTAGTTAATAAGTGTCCCCGGATCCGGGTATGAAGATGAGTGACACAGGATCGAATCCGCCTAAGAGCATCAGCTCCCTCAAGATTACAGGTACACTTTGTTGACAAGTGCTAAATAGCATGAAACCTAGATTCACGGTTTCCTGTTGACTACCTACAATCACCATCTTATCTCAACATAACGCATGCAATGTCGAGTTACCTAGACTAGTAGCCACATTAAAGCTTGTTCGATAGTATTCGATCTGCACTAAAGAAGAACTTGTCACACATGATATTGATCATCACTCAGTGATCAATCAATTGTGATTACATCTCAGTCCTACAAGAGGTCGGTCGTGGAATAGATAGTCGAGTGGTAACCTCGCTGACTATGAAGCTGTGTGACACGGAATCGAATACTAATGGGAGCATCAGGTCCTTCAAGATTGCAGGTACACCTTGCTGACGAGTGCTAAATAGCATGAAATCTTGGTCGAACAGGGTTTCTTTTCGACGACCTCCAACCACCATCTTATCTCAGCATACTACACGTAATGTCGAATCACCTAGATGAGTGGCGACATTACAAATTGATGGATAGCATCTGATCTGCACAAAAAGAGGACCTGACACATATGACGCTGATCACCACTCAGTGATTAATCAATTATGACTTAGTAATAAAGAACGATACCATATTTAGATCATCTCTCGTTGAAATAAATGATGATGCTTAATTAATCGTTGGTAAAGTAAAAAAGGAAACATAAACAGATAAACTATACAACTCACTATGCCCATTACGATTACCATCATTATTTCTAGTCGCTGATAAATATTTACTTTTTTTAGATTGATTATTTATATCCTCAGTGATATCATTGATTTGTTGTTTATCATATATAGTTATCATTGGATTACGTGAATGGGAACGTGATGAATTCATTTGATCTATAGAATGATATTGATGTGGAATATTTCCTTCTCGTAATCTACTCCCTCCAATAAGTGTTATTGTTGATGTACCCATTGTATTCCCTTTTTCATTAGAACGTAAAATAGTTGATGCAATCAATGGTTCACCACTAACTGTTGTCATTGTAGTTGAACTACGTGGTAATCTAGAATTAATTGTATATCCATCAATATTATTTCCATATAATTCATCACCATTATATTCCCTATCATCACCATCATCATTGTAATCATCATCATTATCATCACCATCATCATGATTCTTTTCAGCTGGTTCAACACTTGTAGCTCCTCGTCGAATTATTGCTCGTGTTCCTTTAATTATTATCAGTAGTAGTAAATAATTGTTTGTTCGTATGTGTGCGTGTAGGGGGGTGGGGGTGGGGGTCGCGAGTTGTTTTTAATATGATTTAAAAATAAGAAAGAATAATATACATTTCAATATATGTTCCATATAAAGACGACTACATACACACACACACACACAAATACATTACATTAGATGAATGAATGAGAGATAACAAACAAGCAACATGATATTGATTGAAATATAAAAAAGGAACGTTTCTTGTTGCCATGTTACGTAATCAAAACGATTACTATTATTAGTATTATTTTATTCATTAAAATTACAGTAAATAAACAAACTAGATACATGCAATTGTATAACAACCATGGTATAACATTAAATAGCATAACTAATTATATTGAATTTGAATATTCATTTAATAATACAATGAATTATAAGCAAAGATGGATAGTGGCTAGCAGTAGAATCCAGAATGTGTATATTGTCCTACTTAGGACTCGTCAGTGGATAACGCGATGGTGTTTGAAGTGAATGGTATTGGATTCGAGTCCTAGATTGAACATCAACAGCTATCAAGCTGACGAGTTCAAAATAGGAAGAAACACACGTCAAATTGGATTCCACTGTTAGCCACTATCTATCCTTGCTTGTAATACACTGTCGAGGTAATACGCATAGAAACTGATCAATTGCAGTCCTAAACATTAATGAGAAGTTTGAAGTGAACAATACCAAGTAAATTTAACATAAATTGCTTATAGGTATCAATGTTATGGTTGAATTGGATTGTTTCAAATCAAGTTGAACATTTGGATAGAATGTTAATAATGAATATATATTCTTTTGAATCAGAAAAGGGTTTTTCGTTTCGTCCTAGTAGAGGACTCCTCAACAACGCGTATCTACGATCCCGCCAAGCGGGATTCTAATCCAGGACCTATCAGTCTCGCACGCCGACGCTTAACCTACAGAACAATGAGCCGACATCTAATGGTGTCAATGTCTAATTTCAACCAATCCACGAATATATGCCACTGTCCATCATTGCCTTCAGTGAGTTACTACCTCACAACATATACAGTTGAACTTCACTGGTCACATCCACTCACTAGAACTCCATGAAATGCTTCTTGGATACCGTCACTAATGAGCATATAATGATTAGAATCAAAGCATTTTTGTGGATATTAAAGTAACGTTTTGGTTTTCTATGATGGTCTACCTTTAGTTGACTCATTAATTCAACTAAAGAATACTCGATGAAATATTAACTGAATATCAGATACTTCATATTCCATGCAGTACTCTATTCAATTGTTCAATTTAAATATATAGTTTTTCCGATTTCCAAATGTGCAGAAAATTTGTATCCCTAACGGTTCGCTACTTTATGTTAGCCACTTCTTTAAAATAAATAAGCACTCTGAGGAAGTGGCTAACACGAAGTGACGAAACGTCACTAATACTAATTTTCTACGCACTGAGATATATTGAGAAGTTTCTGCTCCATAAAATGAATGTCATATGTAAAACAAATATCTTTTTGTTCATCTTAGACTATTTCAACAAAATTTAATTAATTTACTTCATTGGTATCATTAGCTGATCTGTGGAGTTCAACCGTGTTTGTTGTGAGGCACTAACCCACTAAATACAATTATGGACGGTGGCGTGATTTCGTGGATTGTTTGAAATTAGACGTTAACACTATATGATACTAGCTCAGTTGTCTTGAAGTGAAGAGTTCGCTCGCGCGACTGATAGGTCCTGTTTTCGAACCTTGCGAGGCAGGGTCGTGGATGTGCACTGCTAAGGAGTCCCATATTGGGACGAAACGGTCATCCAGTGCTTACAGGTTTTCCTTAGTGATCTAGTTTCAATTGACTCATGAATTCAATTATAGAATACTTAATCAAACATTAACCGAATGTCAGATACTTCATATTCCATGGAGGATCCTACTTAAATATAGATTCAAGTGTTTGATTTAAATCACAAACAAACATGATTTAATTAGTTATGGATGATCTCAGATATTTATCAAACTCTCTAATGAATAAATCATAATGTACAGATTCCAATCACATAGATTGAACTTCTGATTTGATTTACAACGTAAACAGCCATATCTCCCGTTAAACTTTGAGTAATAACCCTCCCCCCCCACTCCACATACACTTTTTTGTGTTTCAAAAAAGGAGGTTTGGTTCTTATGTTCATCATTTGGAAAGAAATTAAGTACACAAAAAAAATAAAACTAAATTTTCTATTCAGCTAATTAGTTACTAGTGAATCTTGTTAATTAAGGCTAAAATCAATAGTGGTTGATTCTATTTGAGTTGTATTGATTCAATTTACACTGTAGTTGTTATGTCCAATGCCCAACAACAAACATTTTAGTGCCAAATAAATCAATTTTATTAGATCTTTGCTTCTTTCTTTAATTTTGTTACTCATTGTGATTATTAGTTTGATGAAAACTATAGAAAACCTCTATTAATGCTGTTGGGATGATTTCCAAGTACTTCAGAGGTTATAGAAGAGCCGAAGTGTTTTATTCAATCATAACACAATTGAGCTATCTAGAATATCAACATTACATACTACTGTTGGTCAGTAGTATAACATGCCTCTTTGCAGATTGGTCAAATTATAATGTTGATTTAACAAACTCTAATATCTAATAACTACCCATGATTTTGTGTACATTTCGATTCTTGCCCAACAAGTAATTTCGTTTCCATTCATATTCTATTTTCTCATTTGTGATTTGAGAGGGTTCTACCGTTTGGATGCTCAAGTCATACATGGTATTATTAAGAATCTGACCTTCTAGATAATAATAATAAATACAAACAACCTTGTATTCATAAAATACCTTGCTATAATGTATTGTGAAGCCATATATACAGATAGAATATACATTTACATGTTAAGCAGTCAACAGTCATTTATTCTAAACAAAATACATGCATTATTATCAAACATGCACAATTGTACAAAAACGTAATAAGCCATTCTCCTTACATGCATTATTAAACTTTTGAAGTAACCCATAAATATTACAAATAAATGATAGATGTAAAATGTTTTAAGTGGAGTTGAATGATTTGGTCCTAGAGCTTTCAGTGTTCTACTGAACAATATCATCAGTATAAACTTCAAAAATAGAAGTATGATGTTCGAATATCCGTATATACGACTCAGAGTTTGTGTTGTCGACTTTGATTATGACTGGTTATTGATGACTTTTAATGTGTTGTTGTTTATCTCTCTTTAGTTTGATTGTATCATCTATTGATTTGATTCTTGATTTTATATTTGTTCATAATATTTCTGATTGATTGATAAATTAAATCGATTTCAATGAGGTTGTCGATCATTAATTAACCTGATTATCAAACTTCTAGAAATTCCATGATGCTTTTAGTAGTAGTAGTAGTAGTAGTAGTAGTAGTAGTAGTAGTAGTAGTAGAAAATGACAGATTAAAAGTTCAGAATAACCGGTCAAGATCGATGTCAACAGGATAAGTTATGAGTTCGAATACTTCACTTCCACTTGAAGTTTGGGCTGATGATGTTGTTCAGAAGAACAATGAAAACTCCATGACCAAAGCATCTTGCTCACAGAACAAAATCTCATCAAAATCATCCACGATAATGTGATAAATATAATCCAACATGTTTAAATATTAGACTGGTGAAATGTCATCCCCAGTGGTAATAGACATAGTACTACTAAAATTGATCAGTAGTATATCAAAAATTTTAAAATTAATTTAACACGAATGTATCTTAAAGAATTAGTGATTCATAAGAGACTTTAATATTTGATTAACAACTATGTTAAATGTAAGTAATATACATAAAAAGTGTTTCAATTTTCTAGCGATTGAGTAGTATCTGCATAATTAAGCAAAATGTGGAAGAAATGGACGGCTGCTTCGTCCTACTATCGCACTATTCAGCAGTGAGCATCCACAATTGCGCATGCGGGATTCGAACCCAGGACCATTGGTCTCATGCGCGAATGCCTCACATCTAGACCATTGAGCCGGTATCCAATGATGTTAAAGTCTAATTTCGATCAATCCACGGATTCGCGCCACGATCCACCATTGTCTTCAGTGAGTTACTGTCATATAACAGACCTGATTGACTCCATTGATTACAGTTACTCACTAGAAATCCAGAATGGATGCTGGCTCATTGGTTTTGAAGTTAGACATTCGTGAGGAAGATCGGCAGTTCCTGGGTCTGATCCCGTATGCGGGATAGTAGATGCTCCCTGCTGAGGAGTCACATACTAGAACAAAACAGCCATCCATTGCTTCCAAGTTTTCCATGTTGGTATAGCTTTAATCGACTCATGATCTCAATCAGTGAAATTTCTAATTTCTCCACAAAACCCTTTCGGATCAATAAAAGTTAGTCAGTACTGAAGTAAACTATTTTTTCTTCTATTTTAAGACTCTTATGTTATTGATAATCAGTTCTAAATTGGGTACTCCTTTCCATTTAAAACATTAATCAATAACTTTAACTTATTTTTCTATTTTTGACAGAGTTTACCTCTTTTTTTCCTCCTCTCCCCCTCTCTCTCCCTCTCTCTCCCATATACATTTTAATGAAATTTGCCGCTTTACAACATAAAAATTAATTTCCTTTATTTAAAAACACCTTAGCAACAATTTCAATAATAAAAAAACTTATGATTGAATATTGTATAAGTTGGCAACTATTAAATAAAACAATTTTTCTTTATCATTAAAGATAATCTACCGACATTTTTCAGTATTTGAGGAAGAAGATATATGTGTTAGATGTGTATGAATGTACATTGCTGTAGATTAGTTAGTTAAGAATAAAATATTGATTAACTATTATGAATACAGAATGATTAGAATAGGTATTTGTCTAATCAATACATATATACATATGATGGTGGTGCATACTACTTATATTGACAGATATAAGTAGTATGTGACATCATTCAAAAGTGGAA